GTTTCTCTTCTGGAGCCAAGTCGATATTGAGAAGAATTTCTGTTCTTGGGGAAGGTTTTCCCTTGGAAATTGTGTCCCATACATCAAAGCCATCTATAGGTACTGGAGAATTGTCAACTTTACCTCCTAAATAACAAAAGTTTCGAAAAATTTTTAAGTCCAAAGAATCTTGGCCACAGCTAGTCTCCAAAGTTGTACATGTACCTATGACTTAGCTATGGGATTTGCTCTAATTTGCTCTTACTGTTGTTTAAGCTCTCGTAAAAAAAATTATGGTAATATAGGCGCAGTATCCCAAGGGGGTGACCTAAGCACAACCTACTCTCTGAGTGCTTATCCTAAAGAGGGTTTAAAGCGTACAGGCAAAATGTGAAAAAACCATTAGAATAGGCTCGGGGGTAACTTGTATTGTATGCAGTCCAACTGTTAAGAGTACTACAGCGCTCTTAGTTGCTTGGTGGAAACCAGGAGAGGCCTCGGTAGTTTCAATGGCCTCTTGACCTGTAAGACCACTCTTGACTTTAAGAAGAAATTTCTTAATCGTGAAGTCTGATCGCCCTGGAAAGGGTAGTCCTGAGGAGGACTTTGGTTGGTGGTGGTGACTGACGTTTCGACAACCTGAGCGGAAGTCATCATCAGAGTCACGGTTGTCAGGTTGTCAAAACGACAGTCACCACTGCCAACGACAGTTCTTTTCAGGTCAAATCTTACCTACCAGTGGACGATCAGACTAAACGATCAAATGTTACCCTGGTGATCAAACCGTTTAGAAAAGAAGAATGTAAAGATTGCTGCCAGCAGAGAAACAATTAACATTCACTTGGCAAATTAGGTTTAGGCTGTACTAAAACTTTTTCATGTTTTACAAGCTTTTCTGTGGATAACTCCACTTCGCTGTTCATGAGTGGACTTCTTCGATGTTCCACTATATCAGCAATTTTCCGTCTTTGTATCATAAACAAAAACCGCCCTTTTGTTACGTCGAGGTCAGCAGCTCAACAAAGCGTCCCAAGAATTGGTGACAACTCTTGAAATTACGGGCTTCCTCTTACCAAATCGACAAAAAAACTTCATGCCGAGGTGTAAGCGCTTGGATCTGACGCGATTAACTGAGAGTTGTAACTATCTTTTTTCCCTCTTCTTTGAATGAAAATCTGTGAAACGAAAGATTGTCAAAGTGCCCCATTTAGCCTCTAAAGCAAGCTGTCAAAATCAGAGTGTGAGCATTCACTATCATGATAAAGCTTGAGCAAGAACACTTAAGCTACTCAAGGTCTCTTCACTTGAAGTGTACACAGAGAATAAGTAGTTGCTGGATGCACCCTTAGTACTTATCCCTGCCTGGAACCCAGACTTCCCTCAGTTTAAAAACCAATAGGGAGCAAGATCTTTTCTCCTCCCATTGCTTCCGCATGCTTTGCTTGTTATCAGTCACTTGCTCTTTGCGCATATTCCTCAGAGTGTAGATGAGAGAGTGCCTGAAGAGGGAGTTTACCATGTGGCTGTTTCAATCCAGATTTCTTTGTCACAAGAACGTATTGTTTGTGCATCAGCTTACCACAGTTAAATGCTAAACAGGGCTGGGTGGTTGAAAACACAACTGAGGTACCCACAGTGAAAAGAAACTTTTGATTTACCCAAGCAGCTGTGCGAGCAGTTTTCAAATGTTCTTTTTTTTCCCTTCATTTTTGCCTTACAATAAACTAACACCCAACAGAACTTTTCCGCATTTCCACACAGGATGAACTAGAACTATTCTTAACATTTGATAAGAGTTCAGGGTTCACCAACTTTGGAACACCTGGTCCCTGAAGGATTAGACAAAAAATCGAAAACAAAAAGTAAGCAAAAAAGATTTTAGTTGTTAAATAACTGGGCAAAAAATCAAAATTTTGAGAGAATATTGCTATATTTTAAAATCCGGGAACATGAAAAGATTCCTTGCTACAACTGTCTCACCTGCAAGTTTTATCAGAGTAGGATACCAGTCAGTCGAGTGAAGCAGTTCTCTGCTTTTCACACCTTTCCTCTGCAACATATTTCCATGGACAAAAGCCACACCTCTGACCCCTCCCTCCCAGAGGGTTCTCTTCTCACCCCGCAGTGGCCAATTATAGCCACCTGCTTCTGGAAGACCTCCATTGTCAGTTGTGAAAACCAATATTGTGTTCTTCCAGAGACTAAAAGAGAAGGAAAAATGATGAATGAAGGAGAAAAAAAGAGGGAAAGAGGATGAATTAGAAAAATAGAAAATATGAACATTGCTTTCAAACAAATTTATTGAAGGTGAAATGCTGACATGCTTGGTTGATGTAAAAAGATGAGGAATCTATTATTTGGTAAACTTCTATTTCTTTGAAATCCTCCAGAAAAGGATGCAGGCCTTAATCTTCCCAGTAAGGAACTTCTAGGGGATGGGGAAAGAGCGCAAGCTTGTTTCCCAGAAAGCTGCAAATTATATCTACTCTCTGATGATAATGACCATAAGAATTATAGTAACAGTAAAAATAACAATAATGATAATAAGATTTTGTGCCAATATTTGTGATGTGATATTGGTATTGGGTACGAAACATGTGCTAAATCAAACATTGCCAGACCTAAGGTTTTCAGAGGCTGGTGTCTGTGCTGTCTATATAGTTAAGAATACAGTCAATTACCCTGCTTTTTCCAAACTCTTTGTCACATTGCCAATAGCTTCATCAGCAATATCCAACATGGCAGCATATGTTCTCCTTATCTTGTTATCTATGAAGCTGTACTTGTCAACATATTTTTGTGGAGCTTGAACTGGGAAGTGGACATTTTGAAAAGGCAAGTAAAGGAAAAGAGGAATTGAAGAATTGTGGTTCTCAATAATCTTCTGTGCTTGCTGTGAATCAAATGAAATATCACATGACTTGACCCAACACACCAGAGGAAAAAACTACAGTTTCCCCTTAAAATCTCATAACTTACACCTTAATTTACAAGTAAGCCTAAAACATTTGGTTTGGTTAACAATTTTCCTTACGCGGGTAAATAGGTTTGCAGAATAGGTTCCATTCATGTCTCGCACAGGGGACTTGTTATCTCTGAGATCCAAAATCCCAAGCCGCTCATGTGTGTAGTGATCCCCGCATCCTGTATAAAACCCATAATGTGAGTCGAATCCCCGGTATGTTGGGGTGTATTCCCATTCATAGAAGCCAAGATGCCATTTTCCAACCATGTGAGTGGCATATCCTTGAAAAGAGAAGGCAGCAGCCTTTTTTAGTCTTCTAAAAGACAAAGCTAAGCATTTGATGATGTTTTAACCTCACTTTTCCACAGAAGCAACTTTCCATGCATACCCATTAATTGTTATGGCTGTGTTAGGTTGTTAAATGTAGTTTTCTAATTTGCTGGTATTTCCTCAGTGAAAAATGTCAAATATGCAAAATTTAGCACTCAGGACACCAGTGGTCATTTTATGAGCATTTTCCTGAAAAAAAATATCTTCAAATTCTTAATCAGTCCAAAAATTTTGAAATCCTCTGAAAAAATAACTTATGAGCTTAAGAAATTAGCCTTTGAACAAAGGCTGTTGGTAAAAAAGGTAATAGCTTTTATATTTGTGAGTTGGAAAAT